TTACATTATTTTTGTTATTAAAGATATTTGACATTCTGTATTCTGTGACCACTATGGGAAAGTTGTAGAGAGAAAGATTTCACTTCATTATAAGGAAGAATTTCATAATTTTATAACTTTGGACTGTCCTACAATGGGAATATGCTGCCCTGCAAAACAGTAAATTCTCTGTCTCTGAAAGTGTTTACATGGGAGTTGCATGACCATCTGCCAGGGAGGAAAATGAATGGACATGAGGCAGTGAGTGACCTTTTTCCCCACTGTGGAGAGCTGTGATACACAATGATGTGATATAAAAATTGATTATGTGAGCTATATATGAACAATACGAATATAAAAAATGGAAATCTCAACCAACATCAAAGTTTACTTCATGTTCCTGCAAAATCCTATTTAGTGACAGAGGGAGTGATTCATGATGAATAGCTGTCCAAATAGTGAATTCATTAGTAGCAATGATACCATCTCAGTCTACGATGACTGAGAGGGCTACTACTGCTCCTGTGATTTCAGATAAAACTTGATACCAGAATGTTAAAATACAGCATGCTGTGGTTTTCATTATTTCATTATTTTTCTTTTAACATTTTATTGTGATTTGGATGAAAATTTACAGACTGAATTCATTTTCCATTCAATAGTGTATATGAATTTTTTTCAGTGACATTGACTGCAAACCCCATTATATAACAACTCTTTTCTTACTTCTTCCCTGTGGTTATCTTTTCTCTGTGTCCTTTCCTGTGCATTCTTGTTTTCTGAGCTTTAACCCTTGTGCAAAGGTTTTCATTATTTTTAACATAGAGTCTCTTTACCAGACTAGAACAAAGTTATGATGAAAAGCAAAGTGAAGCCTGTAGTGTAGTAAGCACATTAACTTAAGGGCCATTGATAACATCCTCAATCCCCAAATATCTCCTCATTGCTTCCATGATTACCATTAGTGAGTTATTCTTTTAGGTTAAGTGTGTCCATATCTCTGACCTTTTTTGAAGAGAAGGGAAGGAACTAGCCAAGCTGGCAGAGTTCTACAAGTCTAGGTTCCAGAGCAAAGGATTCTCACCTGAGACCATGGATGGGCGGTAATGGGCACCGTGTTCTATGCCAACAGTTTAGCAGATAGAAAAGGTGTCAGGAAGATACAAAATTGGGATACAGAAGCTGAAATGGGGGCCAGGAAGAGAAGAACAAATGTCAGAAGGGTAATGAAAACATGACTTAGTTTGGGAATTACCTAGCCAGGCTTTGTTGCCTACCACCTTTTTTTTTTTTTTTTTTTTCCCAACAAAGATAGGGTGCTTGGTTCAGCCAAGATTAAAGGTCCTACAGTGGTACATGTGGCATGTAAGGGAAGACAAGCTGCTGAGAAGGGGAGAAGAGCTGCTGAGAAAGGGAAAAGCTCAAGAGAAGGTCCTGAAGGCAAGCTTCACTCCCTTCTTGGCGACATGGCAACATGTTCCTCTTTGAAGGGCTTATTTTTACTCATTTGTTTTTGTAATTATTAGACACAGAGTCAATAATTATGTTAAGGATATGATTTATTCTTTGGTAAAAATGAAAAAAACATTGTATATACTGGTCTTTATTTTTAAAGTAAAATCATAAATTTGCCTCAGTGACTTTGATTCCATTTATTTAGGATAATTTAGACTCTGCTTACCAAGGCTTGGCTGAGGATATAGCATAATATCAATAAAAAGTTTGTTTACTCATTTCAATGAAGACAATTTTGTGAATTCTTTAATTCATAGTGACATAAAGAACACACATGTATCCCTGGTCTCCTTCCTGTAATCCGTTTGTTTGAGTGTGTGTCCTCTCTTTTTTTTTTTTACTTTATTTTCCTACCTATACAATGGATGATTGGAGTCAGAGGTCAGAAATTGGTCACCTATGAACTTAAGTAAGCCAATAGACTGTTAGTTTGGCCAAGGCAGTGATTGTTTGTCTTTCTTTTTGTTTTATTGCCTTTAGGCAGGGAATGAATACTCATATTTCCCTTGGGATCCATCACTCTGCCCCAGCCCAGCACTGGGTTACATCTAGTCTTTATAGTCATATTCTCTGCATGGCCCCTGAAAGCATTTGAGTTTGTGGCTTTGAGGTTATAACATCTGTTGAATTTCCTAAGTTCCAAAGGTTTTAATTATACAAAACCTCTGAGAGACTGAATGTTCACTCACACTCACCCCACATCAAGCAGCAGAGAAAGCAATAAACTGGAAGGAAACTCATCAATGGTGAGGGCTACAGATAGTGCTCTGTCTGCATATTACTTCATTTAATCCTCAAAGCTTCTCAGAAAGGTCAGTATTATCATACCCATTTTATAGGTGATAAAACACACCCAGAGAAGTTAGTATCTTGCCTATGATCAGAAAGCTTATTAATTGTGGCAGTCAGATACAAAGCCATGCGTGTCTGACCACAAATCCTCCCTTTGCCTAAATTTCACTTTGTTGTTGTTGTTTGCTGTCGAGTCGACCCCAACTCATAGCGACTCCTCGTTGGGTTTCTGAGGCAGTATCACTACGGAAGTAGGATTGTCCAACTTTCCTTCCAAGGAGTGGCTGGTGGGTTTGAACCGCCAGCCTTCTGGTGAGCAGTCAAGTGCCTTAGGCACTATGCTACCAGAGCTCCTAAATTTCACTTAGTGGGCTGAAATTTACATAAGGATCTCTTGAATAATGAAGCTTTACACAGATTTTTGAAATATCTAAGTTAGATAAACAAAGGATGTCAGATGTCCAAATATTTGAAAATATTTAACAACAGGGTATGTTTGCATTCTGTGTTCACTGACCAGTAGGGAGTTAGTTGCCTTCATGCTGGGCTTGGGAACATATTTGGCTGCCTGAAGAACTACACAGAATTTAGGAATAATGATTGCTAGAGGAAATTTGAGTTTCATTCACACATTGATGTGACTTTGGAAAATATGTCACAAATCACTCAAACTAAAGATGTAAGGAGAACTTATTTCTGTCACTTTAACTTCTCTATTTTGTCAAAGAACAACAGTTATAAATTCAAGCTTATTTGTCCAAGTTGTCACTAAAATGTAACATGCCTTAATCTGAAAATAGTACTTGATTACCTGGAAAATTTACCTGGCACAGAACAGTTCTGGTAATGAGAAGCTCAGGCACGTAGAGAGATGGCATAAATGGAGACAGAGAGAGCCTTACAATCATTACTAATTGAGTAGAAAAACCTTTGTTGTATTGTACTTGCATTTGAGCATTTTGTAAATATTAAGTTTGCTAATATAAATTGAGACTTCATGTTGAGAATGATTTCCACGCTATGTTAGTCAGTGAATTGGTTTGCCTTAAATATGGCAGTTCTCAAATCTAGTACAAGATTTTTTTAAAACAAATGAAAACAAAATGCAAATATATTGAAAAATAAATTAATCAACTGAAAAGTGTCTACATGTGACACTCTTTTTGTAATTTTTGAACTTTGGATTAACTCACATTCTTCTGATTTGATCAAAGCATTGGACGAAGAATTTATTTTTTTAATTAAAACCAACAGTGGTCACATTTACAGGTAGATATTTTCTGCAAGTGTAGTGAAAATTCATATAAGATGTATTAAAGCAATTAGACTGCTGAGTTTTATTTCCGTGAGTGTGGTTTGGGGGTGGAGGAGAGGGGCTTAGAAACTCCTGCCCTTTTCAAATAATTCACAAATGCGCTAATTATGTGTCAGATATGAAAGTTGAGGTATTGTGACCTTCAAGCCAACAAAAGACCTTTTCAAGTAAGCCATTTCCATGTACATTAATAACGTGAACAATGCCCTTTTAAAGTTAAATAATATATGACTGTTATTTCATTATATGTAAATGCAAACCAAGGAGTTACTTCACTATTGACATATTAACAGTGATGCCATTAAAAAAAAAAAAAAAAAAGACTGCAAATCTACTTAAATAACATTTTGTGGTACTCTTAAAGTAGCAATCCAAAGATATGTTTGTTCATTTTCATTACATGTGGCTAATGGGCCAGTTTCTTAGCAATTGAATATATGTTGGGTTTGAGCTGTAAAAACTGAGGTGTGTTAAAGTATATAATAATTAACAGAGGTATTAGAAAAATTGGGGAAAAATGTTATAAAAACTATTCTCCTGAAGTGAGGAAGGCAATGAAGTGTTTTGTCAGTCAGGGAAAACACTGCTTCGGTAAACAATCAGTCACTGTGTTAGCAAGAGGAGTGTTGAGTAAGAGTAGGGTCAAAGGAAGGAAGAAAAATTCTAAGCTCTTTCTCCTGACTCTTTCATGGTATAAATGTATTTGTCACTATTGGACAGAAGATAATTATTTCAAAAAGTACTACACTGGAAAGAGTGTAAGCCTCAAAAACTATAATGTATAAGGAATTTAGGTGTCTTTAGCATTTGAATCAAGTCAATTGCCGAATGTCCAAGAATTTGTAGTAGAAAATCAAGGACAGGAAGAAAAATTTAATTATCTTGTCTTTGTCCAGTTTTGTAGTATATTTGATGCTAAAGAAAACGTGAAAAGATACAGTCGTGCTTCATGTAACTTGAGAATGCATAATCCGACCCCTGGAAAATAATAAAACAATTATAAACTTAAACCGCAATCATATGAGATTCCAAGAACCTATTGATATTCAATACAGAGCTAAACGTTTTTTTTTTTTTTTTTTTAAATCCCACAGGAAATCCTTATAGTTGACTTCTTATTATGGGTTAGATGTTGATACCAAGAGACTGTGGGGTTTACTGATTCATTCATCAGTTTTTCCTCTTGCTTTAAACAATTCTCTAGGGCTCTTTGTTGTTATTTCTTTTACTAGATTCTTTGAATACTTGTATAAAACAGATATTAGTGATGTTTATGAGAATGCTTGCTGCTGAGATTTTTAATGCTCCTGTACATGCTCTTACTTGCCTAAGGTAACAAGTGTTTTTACATTTATTTGATTATTTAAAATAATTTTCGTTACGTTTTATTTAATTTAAGGTGGCAAATCTTGCTTGTTCCATGTCGACAAATGAAGATGGAATTAAAATTGTCAAAATTGCAGCCAATCACCTAGAAACTTTGTGTCCACAGGTAAGAAAACTAAGTTAATATCTTCCTATTCATTAAAATATTTATACAAATTATCTATATAAGTAATTATTATGTTTTATTACTGTTATTGTTATTATTTATGTTATATATTGTTCTTGTTACGTACCATCAAGTTGGACCCAACTCATAGTGACCCCTCCTTGGGTTTCTGAGGCAGTATCACTATGGAAGTAGATTGCCCCATCTTCCTTCTGAGGAGTGGGTTTGAACCACCAGCCTTCTGGTTAGCAGTCAAGTGCCTTAGGCACTTTGCTACCAAAGCACCCAATATATAAACTAGTAGAAATAATAATGTGTGTGTATATATATATAATGCTATGTACTTTCATACATGGAAAATGTATTAATATAATTTATTTTAAAAATAGAGGATTGAAGTGTCCTAAGGCCACAGTTGGAGCTTTGGTGGCATTGCAGTTAAAGCATCTGAGTGCTAACCAAAAGATGGAGGTTTGAACTTACCAGCTGCTCTGTGGGAGAAAGATGAGGCAGTCTGCTTCTGTAAAGATTTTCAGCCTTAGAAACCCTATGGGAGAGTTCAGCTCTGTCCTAAAGTGTCACTATTAGTTGAAATTGACTCCATGACAGAGTCTTTTTTTTTTTTTTTTTTATGGTCTAGGTTTATTCTTTACTTAGCATCAGTTTTCTCTTCCTCTTGTGGATAATTCTGAGAGATTTGATGTTAGTTTCAGTTAATATTCTCTTAAGTAGTCTGAAAATTTTCAAGTACCTTTGAAAATGGACACACTGAATCATAATTAAATGATCCTAATACATCAAACTGGGAGCTCTGGTAGCATAGTGCCTAAGGCACTTGACTGCTCACCAGAAGGCTGGTGGTTCAAACCCACCAGCCACTCCTCGGAAGGAAGGTTGGGCCGTAGTGATACTGCCTCGGAAACCCAAGGAGGGGTCGCTATGAGTCGGGCCGACTCTACAGCAAACTACAACAACAACATTACAAATCCTGAAATATTATAATTCAGAAAGATTTGAGAGTTAAGTCCTCTTATTTTATGAATAAACAAACCAAAGACTAGAGAAATCAATTATACAGGTAATATTTGTAAAACAATAGTTGTTTTAGGGAACAAAACAGAATGCTGATGAAATCTCATTAAAAGCATGGAAAAACTTGAAGCAAGCTTTTACTACTTGACATAATAAAATACATTTCTTTTCTGATAAATGGTTTTGCTTTGGAATATTTTATGAAATATTTTTTTGATAAGAGATAATACATTATATGATATAATATTTTGCCAGGATACTTTCAAACATGATCTCATAATATTAAATGGCAACTTTGGTTGAAAAAAACATTTTATTTTAAAAACTGATCACTGAGCTACTTTTCACTAAATATGAGGGTTATTATGAATAATCCTTTGTGTTTCATGTCTTTATAAAAGGTGACTTACCTTATTTGCATGGATGCACAAAGCACCCCTATTCATACAGTATTGTGTATTCTCGAAAAGGACTGTCAATGGATGGAAAATGTGGCCTTCCCTAAAAGGCCATACTGAAAAAGGGAGAGTTTGAATCAAAGCAGAAATTTATCCAGCTGATTTGCTTTATTTTTTTGTGATTATTTCTTGAATGTCAAATGATTTTAAAGGAGTGGCTTTATTTCTTTTTATCAGAGGAGTTCATGGGTTTGAAAAAGTCAAGAAATGCTGCCTTCTTATCAGTAATTCAGGAATTTCTTAAAATCCTAACGGCAAAATATTTTTAGGGAATTATTTCTAAATGACTGATAGTATTGAAAGGCACTCTGATGCTGTAGTGGTTAAGGCATTTGGCTGTTAACCAAAAGGTTGGTTGTTCAAATCCACCAGCTGCTCTACATAGGAAAGATGCAGTCTACTTCTGTAAAGATTCACAGCCTTAGAAATCCAACTGGAGTTGCTGTGACTCAGAATTGACTCGATGACAGTGAGTTTGGTTTGAATAATCTTAAAACAATGAATCAGAGTACACATAACATAATCCTAATTACCTTATTTTACAAGAAATAAGAACTAAAATGGATTACCTTATTTTACAAGAATAAGAACTAAAATGGATAAATATTTCCTAATACTTTGACTTCTAAAAGGAATCTAAAACATAACATAGCCAAAATGGAACGTTTGATTCCTCCGCTCCCCACCTCTTTCTGTTTCTTCTTCAGTGTTTCAGATTTTCGTTAGACACATTTACCCAGTTGCTCTAGCTAAAAACCTGGGATTTTTCCTTGATTCATTCAGTAACTATGTATTAAATATCTACCATTTTCTAGGTGTTGTTTTGTGTATCTGGTAGCAAAGAAAACCAACAACAGACAAAAGTCACCTTGAAATGCAAGCTATTTTTTTTATATATAGCTTAATCAGACCTGTACAATTTTTAGACTGTGCCAGTCTGAAATCTACCCAATATTATTTTCCCTTTTACTCATTAGATCTCTAACTATCTGCCTTTCTTTTTGTAGAACACAATAAATTCCATCCCAATAGATAGACATCACACTTTGTGCTTTCCCAATGCTCTTTTCCCGTATGGTCATTTGGACAGCTTCTTTTATGCTCAGTTTATGAGATCACAATTCAAATATCATCTCCTCAGAGATCTGTCCCCTAAATATCATTGCTGTATTATAGAAGCATATTTATTTTTCCAGTTATGCTTTATTGCAGAAACATGGTTATTTGTTTTAGGGCCTATATCAAATCTGAAATTATGTTTTATATTTATTTATTGTGTACTTTTCACACAAAACATAAAGTTAATGAAGATAATGGTTTTGTCCTTCATAATCACTACTTGTATCCTCAGTACCTAGCAAAAATATACCACATATTTGATGTTCAATTAATATTTGTTCAGTATATAAAAGAATGATGGAGATTCTAGAATGGATACATAGAGGGTAGTGAGGCTTTGACATCTTTTATGATATTCCTATCATGGAATGTCTTATTTTGACAATATGAAAAGAAAATATGACAGTGTAATTAGTTTGAATTGTAACTGATGAAAAAGTATCCTTAAAATGGTTGATTAAGGAATAGATGCTAACCGAGGATAAAATCTCTATTAATAGGATAAATTGATCTTCTCTTGGCCTAGTCAAATTCAATGATTTACTAGTGATTTTGAGAAAATATAGAATAATTAATTATTTTTCAACTTTGAAGTTCAAAGTAAGAACCTGAATACCCATCAATATATGAATGGATAAACAAAATGTAGTACACACTCACGATGTGATACCACTCAGCTAATAAGAGAAATAGTCCTGATACATACAAAAATGTAGATGGAACTGGAAGATGTTATGCTGAGTGAAATAAGTTAATCACAGAAGGACAATTATTGTATAACCTCACTTTTATAAAAAGACAAGAAAAGCAAATGCATAGAGACCAAAGTTTATTACCGGTTACCATGGGAGGGAAAGGTGGGTAGGGGAGAACAGTAATGACTATGAAAATATTGCATTGATTAAGAGTAGAGTTACACAGCCAATTATGTAATTTCTATGAATAAGTTATACACCTGTATAAAGTTGAATTGGCAAAAGTTGTGTGATAGATATATTTATAACAATGACCAAACAAAAAAAGTAGTAGCTGCTAAGGCTGCTTATGTACAACCAAAAGCTTCATGAGATTTGGTTCCTTGATTTGGAGGTTTAAACCAAAACCAAAAAGGAGCGCTGGTAGCATAGTGCCTAAGGCATTTGACTGCTAACCAGAAGACTGGTGGTTCAAACTTACCAGCCACTCCTTAGAAGGAAGATTTGGGCAGTCTACTTCTGTAGTGCTGCTTATGTACAACCAAAAGCTTCATGGGATTTGGTTCCTTGATTTGTAGGTTTAGGGTTATTGTTTCATTGGACATCTCAGTTAAATGGCCTGTTGATATGTGTATTGATTTTGTTCTACCTCCTTGTTTGTTGCATCATGCCTGGAGTCTTAAAAACTTGCAAGGAACAATCCAAGGCACAACATTTTTTCTCTGTTTTTCTGGAACAACAAAGGAGAAAAAAGAGTTAGGAATAGGAGGATGGCAGGGAATGTGTGGCTAATTGCCTCTATGAATAACTGCCTCATTTGCCATAAGACCAAAAAAAATGGATGGTGCCTGGTTACCATTATGGAATATTTTGTTCTAAGAAGCCATAGAAAAATCCTGATCAAAAAGGGAAAAATGCAGAACAAAATTTCAAATTTCCAGGGACTCTAGACTTCATGGAGCCATGAAGCTTGGATAACTCATAAAGCCATTGCTCTGAGATAACCTTTAAACCTTAAACCAAACATATTCCCTTACATCTTATTAAACCCAAATAATAGTTTAGCTTCTGAAGCAAAAAATGTCTGCCTTAAGTGTTATGCTTTTTTAAGAACTATCTATATGGGTTCAAATTAACAATAGCTACTGGAAAGATAGATAGGAACCTCTAGGGTGACAGTGAGTTTATGTTAATGAGGGAGGAATAAGTTAGTAGTAAAGGAGAGTAAAAATTATTATACAACTCAAAGAATATAATCAATGTCACTAAATGGTACATGTAGAAACTGTTAAATTGGTATTCAATGTTTTTCTGTGTATATTCTCAGTACGAACAACTATATATAACTATATATATAATATATATAGATAGATAGATATAACAACAACAACATATAGATAGATATTTAAAAGAAGATTAAAAATATATATAAAATATACACAAATATACACAAAGGTCTCAAAAATATGAATATTCTAGCATAAGGACTAAATTAAATATAATAGGTATAATAAAAATCCTATCTATTGGATACTGTCTTAGGATTCTCTAGAGAAATAGAATGTGTGTGTGTATGTGTGAACATGTGCACATGTGCACACACATACACACACATGTGGGCTTTAAATATACATATACAGAGAGAATGAGAGAGATTTATTTTATGAGATTGGCTCATGCAATTATAGGGACTGGC